AAAACATTCTTCTTCACACGAAAAAAATCGATATACGTTTCGATTCAGTTCACGTTATTCTGATAAATGTTGAACTCCACGAATTGTTGTACCAGGAAAAGAAAATTACAAGCAATCTATTTAGAAATTAAAAAAAGATGATTTGATGATAATCGTGAAACTCTTATACAATAGATTTTATCTATGGTTTCATTCACAACTGATATTCGAAAATGAGTTTCTCAACAGAAACACTTGAGTGAATATTTTGAAATAGAAAATTTATTCACGCTCAATGAATAAATATATTTTGTTTAGACAAAAGTATCCCAATATAATGAAAGAACGATGAAAATTCCTACATATATAATGTGTTTCATACCAATAACAGAGAAGAAATAGTGATAGGTCGTCTTATATGTTGTTCTATTTTTAAATCGCTTGAAAATCGTTTTTGAATGCTAGTTGTGACTTCATTCGTTATAGAATTTACTTCTCTACAAAACTGCCTACTTTATTTTTCAAATGAAACCTTTTTATTACAAGAAAAATTCGAAAGAGATTAACACTTGCTCAATACTTCACCTAAGATTGTTTTGTGTCATTTGATGAAAAATTGATTTCAGAAGAAAGTGTTACAAATATTGATGTAAACAAGTAAAATATTATCTTGTTTCGAATTTAAAAAATAACAATGACATATGCATATCTGAGAAGGGTTTGTTTTGTCCTTTGTTTAGATTTTCTATCTCACAAATTTTGTTGATAAGTATTTGGTATAAAATTATGACATGTACATCAACATATGAAGAGTTTTATGTAAGACTTTGTGGCATGTTTGAAATTTACAACCGAACTGGTGTTCAAATATTTCTAGTATTGTTTTCCATTTTTTGATTGTCATAAATAAACAATTAAGTAGGAGTTCTTATTCTGAACTTTGCATCAATAAGAAAATGTGATTTAGAAAACAAAGTAGACAGTTTTGTGGAAAAATCAATTCCCTATCAGAGAAGACGAGAACGAGATTCGAAAACGCTAATCAAATACCTCAAAAACTGAATACAAAAGTCACCAATAATTATGCGTTAGCCATTATTCTCATAATGAATATCTTTCTGATATTTTTTTGCATTAACATGATCGCAAAGAGTTGTAGCATTCTTCTATTTTGTTATTCTTAACCATGTAAAAGTTGTATTGGCAATCCTCATATTGATCTTCCATTTATAGGTTGTGGATGTAGATAAAAAGAAATTCCATAGTTGCACTATCAAATTAGATTCATCTAGTTTATTAATGGAGTAATAGAGGCTAGCTCATCAAGATCTTACGATCAGTTAATTTTTTGAAGGACATCAATCAATTGTTAAACTTTCTTCACTTGGGAACAGAAAGAATTTATACTTATCTATCTCTGCTGGAGATATATTCTGCGTATTGTTCAAGGATGATTGCATGAATCTAAGGCGCTTTATAAAACTTAAGTCAATATTATCTGTTTAAAAAATATATTTTATGTACCATCATGTTTATCAAAATATGCATATGTGCTTGTCGAATAAAAAAATCGTTGCCTATGCGTTAATTACAGCAGTTTTTCTTTTTCTTTTCTATTGTTTGTTACAGATGAATGCTCTTTTTCTCTACTGTGAGAGAGAAAGGAGAAGCCTATTTGCTACATAAGAGAAGCAACAATATGCAAGGTGAGATTAAACATTGACAAAAAAAAGGTAACTTACATGTGATCTACTGCTAGACACGGTCGTTTGTAAACAACTATAGTTTTTCTGATTTATCGAAGTATGTGTTACTAAGTTTACACACAGTTTTCTTTTAATCGCAACTTATTAAACCTACTCTATTTTTAATTCATATGCAAGTGCAAAAGATTTCAGTTGTGATTTTGCTTTGTTGTTGTCTTTGTTCGATAGACCCTCTCAGAGTTTGGTTATTATACCATGTAACATATATCTGTACTCACAACAACGAATGTTCGTTCTCCCGAAATTTCAAATCGCTTCCTCCGAACAGAAAATCTAGATAAAACACTGAGATCACAACAGTGCTCTGTTTATGACCGGTGGTGGCCACCATCGTTGCATCTTTATTCGTATCAATAAAAAAATTTCTCTAGATTTTCGTGTTTTTTTTTAATGTTTCTTAATAATAATTTGTTTTTTAACAGAAAATTAGAATAATTTCGAAAAATTCACTTAAATCTCTCAAAATTATATCGAACTATTGTTGGTGCTAGAATTAAATATGGGTTTATATAAGACGAATATCTCGAAAAGGACAATAGCTAGCAATCTTCGATTTTGTTGATCGAAAGAGTCTGAGTTAGGACATATTTAGATATAACATATGCAAGGCGAAATCACTACCTAACCAATCGTTTTTGAAAATTTTTTCGAAATGTATAATACCGCCATATAGTTCCAACGAAACTGTCATTCTAGTATGTATATTCGATGGAGGAACTTCAGCTCTATAGTTCAAGGTACAATGTGAATAGTTATCTTCTTACGATCTAATGTGGAGCAAATGAATTCAATCATTTGCTCGTCAAGATCATAGGGATTTTCGTTGATTTTTAACCCAATTTTCTTAGTTTCTGTCAAATTTTCATTATAACAACAAGCCATTTGGATAAGACGTAAAAAAAAATTTGGTTAAAGATCAACACAATTTCCCCTATGATTTCGGCAAGCAAATGGCTGAATTTATTTGCTCAACGTTAGATGGTAAGAAGATAACCATTCACACTGTACTTCGAACTATAGAGCTGAAGTCTCTCTATCTAATATACATACAAGAATGAAAATTTCATCGGAATGACATTATAGTATTATGCATTTTTTGAAAAGATTTTCAAAAAAAAATTGATCAGATAACGATTTCACTATGCATAATATTATATCAAAACATGTCCTAACTCATCCTCTCTCGATTGATAAAAATCACAGATTGTTAACTATTGTCTTTCTCGAAATATTTGACTTACACCCACTCACATTTAGTTCTGGCATAAACAATAGTCATTTCATTCATCCCTTTAATTTCTACTACATAATAAATATGTTTGTAATTGTTTATATTTATTACACATATTCATTCGTTCTAGTCATCATAATCATAACTTTTATCGATTCATAATAGAATAGAATTTAGAGTGTCTTTTTTAGTATAAAGAACTGATTATCTCTCAAGCATCATTTGTAAATTGAATAGAATGCTACTCTGAGTTTCAAATGTACCAAATAAGACTAGATCGGACCAGTTCATATCACCGTAGAGTACTTCTCTGAATAGTAGTTACCAACCTTTAAATAAGCTAAAAATTTTGATCATTTTCTTTACATTTGGGCATACAAGCAAAGACAGACAGCTGATTCATACAGCAATTAGTTAGGCTCTTTCGCATCACCAACAATGTCTATAGCAGCTCGAGTAGATGATGCATCTTTCAGCGTTTATTCATCAAGATTATTCCCACTAGTTGTCAGAACAGTAGGTTTCACATCACTATGGAAGACAAAATTATCTCGTCGATAAGGGTGTGGGTATGGGTTTGTGTATGGAGTGGAGCGGAAAAAATAGTAGGACAACATCCACACTTGCAATCTTACCTATATCGACACATACCAACCTTTATTGATCCACAACGTAGACCGAAATTTGCAAGAAAGTTAGATTCACTAATAAGAATGAGAAGTTTCAAACGATAAGAGTAATCTGTTCTCATCAACAAAACATTTTTTTAAACTCATACGTTCTTTTTGTTCGCTAACAGATGATGACTCAATAAAAGTATAAATACCGAGGAAAAATTTTCATACAAGAGATTATATAGATTTACAAGAGAAGAGTGTCACTTTGTTATTTTATCATCAACATTGATCTCGTTGAGCACGATGACTACGTTGAAAATTGTTCAAGGCCACTCAAACTTAAATAGTAATACTTATTTTGAGTTGCTGAATCCAAATCAAATAGTTTTAGAAAACCGCAATCAGTACAAAAGGGGATATATTGATTTTTTTTATAAAAATGATCATTTGTTCATTTTTTTGCACTATTTTCATGGTTTTTGACGAAAACTTGAAGAAAATATAATAAATAGTACATATTTGAAATTATCTCAACGACCTTCATCAAAGCATACACAAAGCAGTAAAAATAAGATATTGCACTGTTTTTGGATTCGGACTACCATACTTATTCTAAGATTGAAACTTAGGAACAGAATACTTCCATTCATGTACGTCTCGTTGCTCGTTGTATAATACGAGTCTATAGGATATAGAATTATACCAATGCGTATAATCAAAACTTTATGAGATATCAACTTTTGCTTTGCTAAATGTGATAATTGGAAACTTTTGGAAATTATTCAAGAATAACTATATTGATACTGACTTTTTTTCAGATCATATTGTTTATTGTACTACATATTTTATATTAGAATTATATCCAATATTGTACTTGTGCTTTGCATAGAACATAAATAATTGATATTTTTACAGCTGTTAAACTGAACATCACGTCCTTGAAATAATATCCAATAGAATGGTAAGTTGTATTCGTCGTAACATGAGTCCATAGGTTTTCATCATATCGAATTTTGACCTACGATAATTGCCATACAATCTTGACGACCAGATAACTATAACTTGGCTATTATGTTATTTCGAGTAGACCACAAGAATTTATCAATTCAAAAACTGAAGTTCATTTTGATATTTCTTATTATTATCACAACTATCTTGATCGTGATTGCGTATGTTGCTGAAAACCAAAAGCTACATAAGAATTCCTTTTTCAAATCAATGCAATCAAATTCAGTATCGATGGCCAATAAAAAGCAATCTTTTAGTGATTATAGATTTTCTCGACCAAGCTCATTTTTTCTTGGAGAAGATGGTTCTTTGGAAACAACTGTCAGATGTGTTGGTTCTTTACGCAATCAATCATGTCTTTATAAAAACTTATACTATATTAATAGCACTTTCATAGTTATGATTACAAAAGGAACAGTTTTACCAGTACTTAGTGTGCGTGTCCATGCATGGGGAACGGACTTTGTTACACCAACTATCCGACGATTCGATTCATATTCAGAACTGGAAAAATTTATTCATGATTCAGCTGATCCTAAAGTATTACCTGGTGTTACTTTGTTTCTACATTTCCCATGGCTCGGTAACATTGGTCATACGCTCTTTGATGCCCTATATCCTGCCTATACTGCAATAATTCCTTTTCCACCTAGACATCTTCAACCATTTCGCCTGCTTTCTGCCATAGACGAATGTACACATTGTCACTATGAAGATATATTGAATCGATTTTCTGGTCTTGGTATTATGAAGCACTACGTTCTAAATAATATGTCGAATGGAAACTGGTTTGTTTTCGATGAATTGGTTATGGGCGGTGGGATGATGTGTCAACGATGTACACAACCTAATTTACAATTACCTGGAGGAGTAGAATTAGATGGTTCTAAACTGTTTCGTGATAGAATGTATGTTCAATATGGAGTTATACCACCAGCTAGACGATACAAGTATTCTACAGAAGGTCGAAATCGACATGATGTACTTGCAGCTTATGTGATTGATAATAGACGGTACAGTGAAAGTGATAGGAGAGAAATTGATGCTGCGATGGAAGAAATAAACAACTACGCTATTGCGCATCAAAATCAAAGCATAGCTGATATCAACAAATTAGATTGGCCACTTGTAAAAGTCTCGTATATAGATTATACTAGTATCGGAGCAGATCATAAGGAAAAGACATCTCGATTCAAGGCAACTCCAATAGATGCTAGATCACCCACATATGAATTAATAGATACCTTTTTTGCGGCCCAGCTCCGATTTTTGCGCACTATGGATATTCAAATTACAGGACCTGGTACAGGTGCAATGTATCAAACATTTTTACCAGATGGATCAGTAGTCATCAATGTTGGTGGCTTAATACCATTGGCAGCAGAAGATCAAAATATAACATATACAGCATTTATGGAACAGTATATGGCATCTGGCGCAACCTACCTCAAAGCTCTCTATTATCCAATTAATGAAAGACCAAAAGGAATAAAAAGACAAGAACTAGTAAAACTCATTCGACAAGCAGCTAAACTCATCATGAATGGTTTTTCTATGCCTGTAAATCCAAGAGATAACTTAGCACCAGATGGACAACTATTTGTTGAACTGTGTAAAAAAGATAAAGCATTGTGTGAACTCATTACAGCAAGAGCAGCTGGTACTAGTTTTCTTTGCTATCATTCTTGGGTCGAAGAACTCATCCACGAACGTGGACCATGGAGAGAAGTAGTTGATAGTGATGGTAAAAGAAAATCTCATTGTCCATTCAATCGGACTTTAATGCGTGAACTGAGAGACAAATATGGCATTATCCATTATGAAAAAAGTGTTAGTCAATAAAAAAAACTTCTGTTTCGAAAATGTAAAAGTACACTCTAAGAAATGCGTTGCACTAACATCATAATGAATATGAAAGATCTACAGGACTATTTTGGGTGTGGGTGTGGGTATTGATGCTGATGTGGCTATAATTGCAGGTTGTAAGCACGACACGCATACCTACATCTACATCACACTGTCATTCACATAAAAAAAGTCTGCTTTCTCATCCACCTCGTTATACTTGGATCAGAGTCAACCATTGTCACTTTTTTTTATCGTTCTATGCAAACGTAATCTGAGGTGATTCATTTGTATTGATAAGAAAGCATTTCAAGTAAACTAATGCATTACAAATCTGACATACATCTACACTCTGGAGTCGTCAAATGATTCCAAGCTATTGAAGAACGAATGTATTTGAGTAAAACGAATTTGTTTCTTTGAAAAGTTTTGATTGCTATTGTACACTGTTGACATGGTTTGAAGCCTTACTGCTGCTGTGGATAAAATTTTACAGTGGGCAAAAGCGGCTGACTGACAGAGTGACAAGCAGAGATTGGAGTGGCGCCGTTCATACGTAGCGATATGGGAAAGTGAAGCATACACGATTGCTTTAAATACTTCTTTTTCAGCAATATCATCAAAGATAGTACAGATGAACTAGATTTTTACATTGATCAGTATGGAACATGATATGATCCCTTCTGTCAAAAGATATACTTGAAATTAACTGTTCTGTTGCTCGTCTAAGAACCCCATGTCAACAAGGAAATCTTTCAGGTTTTATTTAAGACTAGGTTTTGAACTTTTTAATTTTTGAATCTTAATCAATGCTACTTCATTTGGAAATCGTAAAATTACAATGTCCAGCAACTATAATTTTGAATATGTCCGAAGTCAATCCATAGGAACATAAAGCATTTCAATCGTAACATGGAATCTATTCTATCAAAGGTTTCTATGACTATCGACTGTCGGAAATTTCAAACATGTCTTCCTATGGACATGCTGTATCCCAAAACAAAACTTAGCTTTTAAACAACTGTTTCGATATATTTTGCTTTGATTTCACTGTACTCTATCTGAAATAGTGAAGATGACGATGCCCATGACTAATATGAACTTATTTTCCGAAACTGAGAGTGAAGCATCTGCGAATAAAAATGAAAGCACACAGAAATATATAAGTGAAAGAGGTTTATCTGGTTCTGTAAAATCTTTTCAGAGTTCTACTGCCACTTCGAAGGTAAGGTTTAGTCAGTGTACAAACAAAGAAAAAAACGTTTCTTTGAATTATACATGATTGGAGAGAAATCACAGATGTGATTCAGAATATATATGATTTGAAATATTTTTTATCAAGTTTTCGATGAAAAGCCTGTCAAAACACAAAAATCTACTAAAAAAGTGAACATGTAACATTTTCTGAAGCAACTTCAAATGAATAAAACAGCTGTTAAGCTGCTTTAATGCTATTAAAGAAATAGGGATGTGTGTGGATGTGAAGATGGATGAAGAGAACAATCACAGTCATAGTTATATCCATTGACACTTATTTAATAAACTCATCCATATTAAAGGCAGAGTTTTCATTATACGACTCTAATTACGTTTACATTTGATGCATCGTGATAAAACCAAGGAATTAACATAACGTGATTGAAGCTTTTTTTTTCAATTGACGAGCCTTATTAAAACTCTCGGGCACCATCATTAATTTATCAACATTTCCATTATTACTCATTTCTGGAGTTCTCTACAAGAGAAACTGCTTCACAAAATCAATAATAACAATGGATAAACTAACATTATGCGAATATTCTCAGTGTGATGAGAATTTGTTAAGTTTCAAGAAGAATTTTTTGCACGTAGAAAATAGCAACCAGTTCTCAAAATTAAACTAAGGAAGAACAAACACAGAACCAATTGTACATGTGTCGATTTTGATTTAGTTTAAATACCAGTTGGAAATCATAATATAAATGATATTAAATATAACTATTGGTAAGGCACATATGAAAGGCAATATCGACGACAATCATTTAAACATTTAGTAAGAATCAAGATTACTTACTTCCATTCAGATTCAAGCATTTCATGAAAAAAAAATGCGTTTTCGCTTTCTGCTATTTGAAACAATTAAAAGCAAAAAGAGAACTTGAAATTTTTCTTTTTCTGATTTTTTAAACCTTCAGTGGTTATTAAACAATCCGAAGTTACACTTTGAAGTGATGAAGCCATTGATTACAACGCGGTTTCATCACAAATGTTTGCCAGTAAGAACTTGAAAGAAAGATTTACTTCATCATCCTAGGACATATTGAAACTTTTTTCTCCGATAAATGTCATAACGTCTTGGACAATTTTCCGAGATTTCCAAAATAAAACTGTGAAGATGTACTAAATATTTCTTCAATAGTGACACATTATGTAAGCGTAAGCTTGATATATTGGTCTTAATATATTCTATGTGAAGAAAACACTTGGCAATAATAATAATAATAATATATTCGTTGTGGAAAGCATGGTTAGAAAGAGATATGTCAAGATGTTTCATACAATAACTTTTTTCTATGAAAGTATCTGCATTATCGAGGAGCATAGCTAAGCTTATATCAAGTGAACTCATATTTGTGAGAGATGCCAGAAGTGCAGTTAATTTCGGAGTGATTTTTTGTGAGCGTGTGATGGTGAGTTGCCTGATTTTAGAACAAATAAGCTATGTTTCCAGTCATTTGAAAACAGAACTATTCATCTCATCAACTATAAGGCACTTTACATTGTCAAAGTAGTAATGACATATTTTAGTACTATTCATGTCACTAACATTTAAACTTATCTATTCATTTACTATTATAAGACCATTATAACCAGTGTGGTTGAGTACTAGCCAATATTGAACGACAAGGCAATCAAATTCATATCGAGCATGGTATTTTATCTTGTCTCTAACGAAACTATTCAAATCCGGATGTACATGTTTAATTACTGTTATATTGAAGTTCTTTGTCCATACCCAATATGAGCTTTCAAACGAAACGAGCACGTTGTCGAGATCAGCCGTTTTTAAACGAAATGTAGTAGTTTGAAGAGTAAAATGAGTTAGTGATGGTAACGATGTTTCCAACAACATCTACCATACGTTTGCATCAAGAAGTTGACTGTGCATCTTAATGTCACAGATGGTTTAAAAGGGTGTTGATGTGGGTAGGTGTTGTTTAAGATGATCAACACTCACACCCCACATCCACACCCACCCACACCCTACATCTTGTCTGACGACGTCAACAATATGAAGAAATATTCAATTCTAATTGCTATGAGCGGGAAACTAAGCACTTGAATTTTTCAAATAAACTTTATTTCATATTTCCCTAATAAAATGTACAGTCAAAATTTGGGATAAACTGTCATGTGCCGAAATGAACACTCGCCATTGTTGGAGATATGCAATACGAACAGAAGTAACACCAATCAAAATCAATAGTTCATTTAATCAAAGATAACACAGCACAACATAACATAATTATACACTACAAGAGTTCATGTCGTTCCTTTCTGTGTTCGCACATGAAATCATTATTGCAGTATGCCATTGATCTCATTTCATATGATGTGTAGAATTTTACAGGATAAGAATTACATTGATACGAAAATAATATATATGAGAAAAGCTAAATTATGTTTTTTGGCAATATTTTTATTTATGCGATGATTGTATGATTTCTACCAATGGGGACCATGCTGACGGTGTTCATTCTTGTTTGATTTCGATGAAAGAATGTTTTGCCTCTAAATATGATACGTAGTAACTCTCGTCTATATACATTTGCTGAAAGAATATATAAGAAGAAGGGTGTTGAAGAGAAACATTGGTACCACAGACAAGCTAGACCATAAATGAAACTGGTTAGAGACGTGAAAGTAAGCAGTTTGAATACAAGCAGTGAGTATGTCACTCCAAGGGGCAGATAAAATATGAAATAAGCGCCTACTTGCAACAGCAACATTCGTACTAATTGTATATCAGTGTTTCGTTGTCGCGACATTCCACTAGCGGCAGGTATCACACGATTTCTCTGTGCTCGAATATTGAGTATAGTGAGTAGGCCGAAGATAACTATAATGACTGGTGGAAAACAATCTACAAAAACAGTATTAATACCGGCCACTATTTTAGAACCAATATCAGTGTATGTCAAACAAAGGCCATAGACATTGTTAATATACCAGATGACCAGTATCGGGCTAAGTGCAATGGGAAGGACAAGCGCAAGAACAATAATGGCTCGACGAGCGACACGCGCCGAACTCCAACTTCGCATATTGACTGACGCTGATGATGCACAAAATCGATCAAAAGTGGCGAGTACAAGAAATATGCTTATTTCGAATTGCGTCAGTACGTAAAAGTAAGGAATTAATTTACAGCCTACTAAATTTGTGTTCGGCGTGAAACCGAAACGAACTTCAGAATATTGAACTACTGGTCCGATTATCACGCACAGAATACCGCTCACAGCTGTTGCAAGAAAATAGTATGTACACGGTGATGCTCGTAATAAGGTTCGTCGTGTGAGAACAAAAATATTAAGTAAATTAGTAAAAAATCCGAATGCGATTTGGATAGGCAAAATGATCAATGAAATATGATTGTAGGTCGAATTGTAGTCTGATACAGACGGCATCCTTTAATAATATGAAGAGGAAATGTGATGCACACTTTTACTGTTCTTAAATGATAAGCAAGCCATGAATTTCATACAGAATTTATAATGTCATCATACAAAGCTAATCTTCTTTTATAGAATTTTAATTGACTAACCGAAGAAAGAATGTTGTATATTTAGTGTTATATTTTTTCACTTCATGGAACACTTGTGAAAAGTAATGATAAGGTAATGCACATACTAATTTGCAGCCGGTACAAACAAATAAATTCAAAATTCAAAAAGAAATTTAAAAGTAAAATAACTCAGCGTAATTCCATTAGAAAAAAGTCATTATCATTGCTTTAGTTCTACATTGTCGTTTCGATGCCCTAGACAACTAATTTTTAACTGAAAACGTAGATCAAATATATATATGCGTCGATCTTTGTGTGATTGTATACTAATACAAGCAGAACGTCAATCAGTTGACAGAACATAACTGCAAACATTGCATCCCAAGTGTGATTCCATATATATCTATTGTTCATTGAAGTTTGATTATTATAATACTTTGACTTTCCTTTCACTTTATGTATAAAAAGTGAATGATTAAACAGTTTGACAGTCACGGTAATATAGTTCATTCATCCCTAACGATTTCAAAAACTAGTCGTCTATCATTACAATTGTTTCATCATAGTACAGGAGTTTCCATTATTTCTATTATTCAAAGTAAATCATCTCTTTTTTCAGTAGTCTATCAAAATTTCATCTATGAAATCAACATCAAATGAAATAATACCATGAACTGTTAGAACTATAACTCAACTATTTCTGTAAGTATTCTTTTTCTTCACATTTCTGTAGGGGACGTCGACTTAGCATTAGTATTAGAAAAATGCCAATATGTTGTATTAGGATGAAAAATAATAATTTAATGCTTTGGCATTAATATTAAATTAGCATTAACACAATGCAGACACTTATGGTTTCAAAAAACGGAACAAAATTATTCCGTTGCTGAACAGAATTCTTACAATAGTAGAACTTTGTTCTTGTATTGGAAAGATAATTCCTGCACGTGTACAACTTTTTTTTCGATTTTTGGAACTACAAAGGTTTGTATTGAGTTAATGCTAATTCAATACTAATTCCAAAGTATTAAATTATATTTGTAATCCTAATAGAAAAGCGTTAAAATTAGCATCAATTAATGGGATGCTAAGCCGACACTCCTAATGAAAAAGTTGAATTACTCTTCTTGTCACTAATATATTTGCAGGAGCTTGTTTGAAAAGCTGTCAAGCGCTGTCATTATTGCTTGAAGACAGCATCAATTTGTTTTAATCCTCCTGAGACATCGTAAACGATAAGGGATCAACTTTTACACAAAGAAACATACAAAAATGGATGAAACTTAATTTTTTTCACTTCTCTTATTAAAGATTAATTAGAAAATCAATTATCCTGCTATGATGATGGTATCTTATTTTTATAATTAAAAAGTTTCTTCAAGCCATTTGCGCAGGTTGCATCATAGAGGCCTTGAAAAAGAGGACAACAGAAGGTGAAATTATTTGATTATGATATATTTTCCTTTGTTTTTCAAATTCATGAATAACATTAGTTATCATACCTGTTACTAATGATATAAATGGTTTTAACAGTCATCTTGAATTATATAAAAGTGGGACCAATTGAATTTAACCTCATTTTTTTTCTTTTAATTACTATTCTTCATTTATTTTTAAATATGTTACCTATAGAGAGAAAGTACGAAATACACTGCATAGAATGGGGTGTGGGTGTGAATGGTTTTCTGAGTGGTATATGTGAGTGTGGAATTTCTGATGAACATACCGACATCACGCACACCCATCTACCCACATCCCACACTCATCCATACCCTAACCACACCGACACATCAAGAACCAACCAATAAAAAAAATAATAGAATAGAAAAAATGAAAGAGGACAAGAGAAAACGGGCAGGACTCTGCGGAATGAAACAATAGACAAAATAGAACAGCTTGTTTGTTCGTTATTTTAACTATATCGTTAAAACTTATTCAAAAATTTCATGGCTTCTAAAACGAATAACAAAAGGGTGTGAGTGTGGAGTGTGGCTGGGGAGTGGGTATGATCAGAGTGAAGAGTGACACTCACACTCTTCATCTAAAACAATGAACTTGTGGATGAATATGATATGCCTGAGACCGATGTGTAGAGAAAATTTGCATAGTTTTTAGCTTTAATCTGAAGCTTGCTATTGATAGTTTTTAATCCTCTATGTTTCTTTCCCAATCACACGAAAAAATCTGTGTGCATGTGAAACTTAAACTGAAATGTACTCTGAAGTTTAACATACATGAAAGCTTGTTACATTTAAAGATTTTCATCAAAAATATCTTATAGAGTGCTTGAAGAAAAGTCTGTTTGTAGATATCTTGGTGATATAATAGCTAAAATGAGTCAACTCTTCCGTAGAAACAATGCTTTTAATTACTTTATATTTTTCTTGTGATAGGTTTATTGATTGTTGAGGTGGAGAATCCAAGGACATTTATTAATGTGGGAAATATTCACATCTCATGTATCTAGAATTTTTCCTTTTATCACATATCGAAATTCTTACACTGTGTCATCTTAGATCGTATTGGGAATTTTTCCAATCTGTTCTTAGATATATATTCATGTTCGTTCTATCCTATAGTTGTCAAATATTACATTCGTTATTTTGTTCTCTAACCGTTCTTCTTTGTATTTAGTCTTCTTCTATTACTCTTCTGTTTGTCATTATAACCAAGATATCATCAACAAATCGAACTGACATACACACAATATCTCCATTGATTATAGGCATAAACGTATTGTCTACATTATTAGTCGCAGTAGCTCTTAGTAAAAATATGGTCATTTCTTTAGTTTAGCTAAAACTTGCTCTATAGCTGATCACTCAATGGAATACCAAAAAATTCTATCATGCATCGCTGGAATGTTTATTTCAAATGTTTTACGCCACATTCGATAAGTTCTGCGTATTTGACGGGAATGTTTTAATAGTATAGTCGTAAAGCAAAATATTCTTACCGTATGTAGAAAACGTATTTTTGTGATGATGAGAAATACTCCCCTTTAACAATTGCCGTTGATAAGAAATTTGTCCGTGAAAAGAAAACTATACAGTCATTTTTTCCCTTATTGAGATAAAAGCAAACCTATTGACTACCTTTGTTGATAAAAATACTTTAAGAGTAAAATGTCGTTTATGTATTGATATGATCATAGTGAGTGAGTAGCTTTTAAAGTTATTTATCTTGTTTTACGATCGAAAACAAAAGAACATTTTAGATTTTTGTAAAAACCTTTCACAGCAATATTTCTGTATTAATTCATTGACATACAGTTCTACAATTTCATAGTAATAAATGAACGTTGAAATTACAACATTTATCGAGTTTTTACTCGATTCAGAAGGAACATCCGAGTTTTCATTCTGTGAAGCAATTGAAAAAAAAACATCAGGTATATGGCGAACGTTATTTAACGATTTTTCAAGACGTAATTAATCAAAAATTACAGCAATGGGAAAATTATTGTCAAAAGGAGCAATGTGTTCATGCTGCTCGCATAGCTATTAATGCTGGAAATGAAGCATCCAAAAGTGAATCCGAACAGCAGTTATCCACGGATAACGAAGATGAAAAACCATCTCAATCGTCAATACATAAACAAGACCAGGTTGAATAATAAGATTTAGTATTTTGATATATGCAAATTGATTTATTCATTTTCATAGATACTGAGTTCGATAAAATATTTTGATATTTCTATTAATCCAGTTAGTCAATGTCAACGACTTCTAAAATTTGTATACTATTGTCAACAAAATCACATTCACATGACAAATCTTTATTTTCTTACGCTTGACCGCTGTGTCAATAATGAAAATGAAAACATTATTGCTACTGCTTTACAGCAAATAGCTTTACACCTTTCGGAGAATTCAAAAGATGCTCAACGTCTCATAAAATGTATTTCAACAAATTTATCATCTTCTATCACACCCCGAATGCATACATCTATCTTGTAACCACAATTCAAATTCTGCTTTCAAGACATACAACTAAACAAGATAGTCTATTGAGAATGTCACCAGATGATCTAGATATTCACTATCCATACAAAGCGCGTTTTCTTGATTTACATCGTGAATTTCGTGATAGTATGCATTATTTTATTGATGGAGATTCATTAATTCTATCTGTTGCTCATCATATTAGTATTGATCTTAAAACATATTATGGAAATACTTTACATACTATTTTTATTATTGAGCGTATGCTTCTCACGCTATTCAATCAAGCACAACAATGTAATTATACATTAGTGTTTTTCGATTGTCACTATTATTTATATGAAAAAGAAAAATCCATATTGAGTCTTATACGTGCTTGTTTTATAGCTCATCTTTCAAAAAATATCAATCAATATGGTTCATCAAAGGTTCGACAATTTTCATCATGGCTTGATCAGGAATATATAGATTATGCTCATGAAGAAAACCACATTTTATCTTTTATCATGACATGTCAAGTTTTGATATTTGTAATGATAACCTATTATCTAAAACAACATTAACAAAACTTCTCTTTATTTATCGTTTATTTGGAAATTATCATCAATATCATCTCGAATGTAATTTATATCTAATGAATAAATTGATCTTAAGTGATACTATGGTCAAATGTTTTCGCATTCAATTTAAGGAAAAATGCTCGCTGAGTCTACTAGAAAATACAATTGGTGAATTATTATTTTATCAAACTAATACTATTTCGGATAAAAATGATATAATTGCATTTGAAAAACCAAAATATGATATAAATAATCAAAATGATGTGTGACTTTTTTTCTATCTTAAAACTATAATGAGCTTCGTTCAAGAGAAAAATGACGATCAATCGAAGAAAGAAAATTTGTTCAATCTTCTTAGTCCATTACCGGTTCTTCATGTAGCTCTTCTGATTCGTTTATCATTAATTGATCGTCATCTTCCAACGAATTTTCCTTCAATTACATTTAGTTTAGTGGTTTCTGAATCAATAATTCAGTTTCAACAACACCTTGCGGTATACCTATCTTCATATTCACCATCTCTGTCGTATTTAAAAGTTGTTGATATGTTCGATGGACGTCTTTTTGCTTTCACTATCAATCAAGTTAAACAATCATCATCAAAGATTCAATTTGATTCAAACACAATGGATATTATCAAAGAAGGCTTAAGCTTATTAGAAATTTCAATGCATGAAAACCTATTCTACAATATAGTAGACCAATTAATTCAATTGAACCATATTGTATTCTCAACATCAACAGCATCTGATAACCAACCAGTGCCCATTGAGAACATGCGAATTTCAAAAATATCGAATCCATTCATTGATACTTATTTAGCACCAACACTTTCAACAAATCATCAATGGACATTTGACTTTCTCGACCCAGACGACAGATTTTTAGCTCGTTATCAAGGTATAGTTATTTTTTTATTTTGTTTTAATCTATGACAAATATTTGCATATATATTTTGAATTTGATAGGGAGACATCATTGGCACGTATACAAAGAGGTATATTGCAAGGGGTGAATAGCGGAATCCAGGAATCTTGAATTCCAGGATTCCCATCCATTTCTTGAATTCCCTCGGATTTCCAACCCTTTCTTGAATTCCCTCGTATTCTCTTGGATTCCCTTGAATTCTCTTGGATTCCCTTGGATTTCCTCGAATTCCCTTGGATTCCCTCGGATTCCCTTGGCTTCTCTTGGATTCCCTCGGATTCTCTTGGATTGTATAGGATTCTCTTGGGTGTGGCTGCAAGTCTTTCTTATTGCATCCATACCCAAACCCGCCCTATTTAATTTTTTTTTATCTATTATTATTTGTTGGAAAACTTTAATTAATTCAAATCGATTTTTTTATAATCAATTATAATTGATTTAATTTTAAAGATCAATTGAAATAGATTTTAAAAGACTTAATCAAATGGAATCCGTCTTTAAAGGGGGAAAAATCTCATCAAAATTAGATTATAATAGTGCCTTTATAATCAATTTTTAATTTGATTCTTCATCATTCATTAAAAATTCTTTTGTGAGATATACCGCAGATTTGTTCATTATTAGTGACGAACTCTTTATTTCTGAACTTATCTTCAACACTTTTGTTTATTGCTTTTATATATATAAAATTTTATCGAAGGAGGAGTGGAACTAATCGTCAATTCCCCTTCCACTATTGAAGCTTTTAAAACACTTTTATATTCAAAGACTTCCAGGGTTTTATTACTCATGAGCTACATTCTTTTGTATTTTCTGTTGGTTAATCGAAACTTAAAATAAAGACTAAAACATATAAAGGTGCCTAGTCGTGGTTGAAAGCTAAATTTCTGACTGAAGTATCTATGAAAAATATTATTAGATGTGTTCCATTAACTCGGTACGTATGATAAAGGAGTGTTCTCCAAAGTAATCAATTGAAGGACTGAAGACTTCAGGACTGCATAGGACTAGCGAGAACCCATGCATACTGCACAGTTCGTTTCTCCTTTAACATATGACTTCAGGTGTTTAACTTTTGATCAGATAATGGACATACAGATATGCAATATTATGTGTACAGATCAAAGTCTTACAGCCTAATGCTCTTATACCGCACATATTTTTATAGTCCATGTAGGCTTTATATACCTTGTACCTCTTGTAGCCTTATCCGTTTATTGTCTTACACCCTTCAGGGCCTATGGGTACCCTATAGAGCTCCCTCATATAATAGTCTTTAAGGGCCAATAGGTACCTTCATAGGATAGCCCTCGAGAATTTATGGGTACCTCTGTAGGATAGACCATAGGGGCCTATGGGCGCCTCCATATAATAACCCTTGAGGACCTATAGGTACCTCCATATCATGACCCATGAGGACCTATGGGTACCTTCATATAATAGCCCATGAGGATCTTTGGTATTGTAGCTCTTGACCCCTTCCCCTTATAGCATTATAGGACCATTAACCCTTGACCATTAGCTTTTAATCTTTAATCCGGCACAGACAGACACTGAACATTAAATATATAGATTTCCTTGGATTTCCTCAGATTCCCTCAGATTCCCTCGGATTCCCTCGGATTCCTTTGGATTCCCTTGGATTCCCTCGGATTCCCTAAAATTCCTCTGAATTCCATCGAATTCCAAGATTCCAGAATTCCGCTATTCACCCCTTGCATGATGCACAGACACTTTTTCTCAAGTTTTCTAGGTGAGATTGTTCTGTAAATAGACTATTAAAAGTATTTATGATGTTTGAAAAATACACATTCTCTATATTTAACCTATGCTGTTTTTTTTTTGTTTCAAAGCCTTCAATTACAAAAGTTCTCCATCACTAATAGGCTTTATAAGACTAACTCTTAATGATACTGTATGAAGAAAACTTTCAACCACTAGTGTATGAACATACAGGTTTTCGTAATAGTGAAAAAATTCCTACATAATGTATACTAATTATGGAATTTAATGTTCAATTTATAATATTGTTCGAGAAATGCAAACTGATCATCGAGCGACAACATAGCAATGCTGGTTTCAATTTGATAGTTTGCCGATTTAATTTGATGAACGATTTCTTTTTGTTTCATATATATTTAATCTTTACTGTAATTCTAGAGACTCACTATTTTCTACATTATCATGCAAGATCTACAATATAAGTTTAAGTTGCAAGGTTAGAATGACATAGGGTCAATCATATCTAGTTACAAAAGTCTATGAAGACATAATAATAAAGAGAAAAAAAAAGAAGCAGATCATTCATCAGCTGTTGATGTTAATGTATCGTCAACCGTGATGCGAGGCTCTGGTGGTTTCCAATCTGGCTTACGGTCAGACGGTGGCATATAATCACCTCCTGTCAGAAAAGAAACTTTGACAAATTTGTTATCGGGTAAAGCGATCTAAAATATTAATATAAAATAAGTGACTAATATAACATTGAATAATTTTTTATTGTACTTTGTAATCATGAATCGTGCCACAGGCTTCGACGTGTCGAACACGCACTGGCTTCAGTTCAAAATTAGCTGGAACTGACGGATATTTTTTTCGAACTTCACTATTAATAGAACTCTTATACTAAAAACAAATTGATATACCAATAAAGAAAATCCGTAGAAGAAATGAATACATTGATTTACCTTGTTGAAAATTTCCAAGTCTATATCTGTTACTGACTTATAACAAAATCGGGGATCAGTCATCTTGATTTTTGCTTTTATCGGATACTATAAAGAAATGAATACATGGTGGTATATTTATGTAGAACTGAATCAATTTTTCTTGCGTTCTTTCCTTGTAAGAATTGTGTGGCCGTTGATAATTGTGCCCCCTTATGCAAACATAAGCAACTATACACATTTCCTCAAAATTGCCATCAATTAACCTTGAAAATTGACATGAAACAATTATTTTACCAATCATGCGTATGAATAAGCACCACATGTATATTGTTTTTGTATTAATCAACAAATATAAAAACCTGCAATATCGAAGAGCAAAATATTGAAAGAAAAACATGGACATAATAAAGTTTGTTTGATTTTCAATTCAAATGCATTGCAAAAACAATGTAAAATAACGGGTGCGGCAGAATAAATGGCGGTCTCAATATTTTGACTATAGCTTTTTTTCTTTGTGTTCTTTAGAGCTGATTGTTTTTCCAAAAGATGCGCCGTCAAATTCTCTACAAAACGGTAATCAAACTTATTCCTGAAGAAGGTTGAAAAAAAAAAATTAAACGAAGATTATCGAATATATAAAAAGTATCCAACTTTCCAACCTAACAGGTGTCCCATGAAAGGCCGGAGCTTATAACTCTCTTTTTCATCATCTAGTATGTTGATTTTTAAAAGAAAAGTATACTAGAAGATGCAGCGTGAAAAGCTCTACAAGTTACATTAAAAAACTTATGTACTCTATCTTTTCAAAGTGGACGAAACTTTGTCAGGCCAATTTTCGATGCTGCGAAAAGATCATGTGTTGGTCGCACGGAACTTTGCTTATTTTAAAAAACAAAAGGTGCATATACATAAAATAAATTGTCGTTTGTAAATTGTGGAGCTTTTCACGCTGCATCCTGTGGTATATTTTGTTTTCCTTTAATAAAACATATTAGATAATAAAAAGAAAAAATAAGAGAAAACGAATTCGTAGTGTGCCAAAAAATGATCCTGTTCGCAGCGTCGAAAATTGGTCGCATAGAATTTTGTCAATTTTGATTAAAAAGAGTGCATATATAAAATAAGATTTTTAATGTAACTTGTAGAGCTTTTCACGCTGCATCTTCTTGTATACTTTTCTTTTAAAAAATCAACTTACTAAATGATGAAAAAAAAGAGCTATAAGCTCCGGTCTTTCATGGGACACCTGTTAGGTTGGAAAGTTGGATACTTTTTATATATTCGATAATCTTCGTTTAATTTTTTTTTCGAACCTGCTTCAGGAATAAGTTTGATTACCGTTTTGTAGAGAATTTGACGGCGCATCTTTTGGAAAAACAATCAGCTCTAAAGAACACAAAGAAAAAAAGCTATAGTCAAAATATTGAGACCGCCATTTATTCTGCCGCACCCGTTAGATTCAAAATGAAGAATTTAATTTTTATGTTTAACATCTTTAGCAAGCAAGGAAAAGAAGTTCTTGTAAATGTTATTGAACACCAATTTTTGCATTAATGAGTGTAGCTGAAAGTATTTTAAGGAAGGATTCTTGGAAATCAGTTCACTGTGTTCCAAAACTTTGAAGAATTTTCTTTTTTTTTAAACGGAGTTGAGCATTTGATTGTTTTTTTTTGCTCACATATTCTAAAAAAACAGTCTTCGAACTCCCTCTCTCAATATTCGCGACATCAAAACACTCCTAATTTTAAGTCTATTTTGCATGTATATGCACATAGTAAGAGAAAAAACTCAACGAATAAAAATAGAACCATTAATCGAAGTCCTGGGTACAGAAAAAAAAAATAATATATATACGCACAGACAGATTGCTGATTAATAGAGTAAAAGAACGAATAAGACTTGTGTATGATTCATATTTTTTCTTCTGTTTCTGGAGTGTCGATGTGTATCCGTCGACATAAGATATTTCAACGTTTTTGACCACTTCAATATTTTCACTTTCGATGCTTGACATTTTAACTGTTTCAAAAGAATGTACGGTTCAGTTTCAATGAACAGAATATTCATATGCACAATCTAAAACAAGTCTACTAGACATGTATTTAATTCAAATTGCAAAGGAATTATAATCGGAAATATTTGAATATTGTCAAAAGCACTCGTTCTAGTTTTGATGTAGTCTATCGTTGAATTATGTCACTCGTTGATATTTAACTTTTGATTTAATTGATACTTGTAAATATGACATGCATATGAAACCATCTAATCTTTTATCATAACACAAGATCATAACGCTCTTATCAATTTTGTTATAACGTAAACAAAACACAGAAAAAAAAACATTCTTTTCTTACATATCAGACGGTTTTTTTAAAATTTTTTTACATCGTACCAGCTTGCATGTGTTTGTTCATATAAAATAAATTGGACTTTCTAATTTTTTTTTTCGCGTTCAATAGAATTTTAATTTATTAGAATAAAATATAAACAATACATCATCAGCTTTCATTTAACTTATATACGGAAAACAAACAAATTATGATATAATAAGACAAGCGGAAAAAAATAATTATATAATGGAATCTTCGAGAAATGTATGTTATTGACATATACAAATTTCTTGTCAAGTGCATACATTCTATCTTCACTAGATATGCTTGCAAAAACACAGCATTTTCAAAAAAACAATATAGAAACATTAATATTTATTCTACTTATCTTAATACGTCATCAATCAATAAAGTCAAATGATAGAACTCTTTTTCTTCTTAGTTTTAGTATATTGCTTTTGGACTTGTTTATTTCAATGATTGCAGATAGCCTTCGGTGATTACAACAGTTATCCGGAACTGAAATGGTTAAATTATCAGAAACATTCATATACACTAAAATCTATTATCTCGAGTATGAAATAATGATGTTATCTCGATTGATATTTCAAAAATTTTCTATACATTTGAAGGTTAAATTGTTCCAGTTTCTTAAGAATCGTCGAACTCTAATCAAAGGTCATATTAATTCAAATATATATCTCAAGTGCATAATGATGCATCTTTTCAAAGTCTATTTGTCAACTTTTGCTCCTATTAACTTAGTGTGTTCGAATATATTCAAAGCTCTTCATTATTTTTTTTTCTAATAATTTATTACACTCGTCTTTATTTTTCGTATTGCAATATTTATTTGTGTATTTGTAGCTATAATAAGTTATTTTGATTCATACTATTGTAAATCATTTATATAATTGTTAGATGATATGAAAATCACTTAGCATGGTTGATATTGATATTATGTTTTATTCGTATGAGTATTGTACAAAAATATTGTTCTTTTCTTTATATTTTGTGGTAAAACAAAACATAACGATGACTTATTTGTTAGACTGACTGGATTTTTATAATCTTATACAAACTGACCAAGCGAAATATGTAGTACAAAATTCTAGTTTGGATAGTGCACATGGTAATTTCTAGTAGGAGTGGCAGAATTAAGGACTGACGAAGCCTTCCTACCACAGAGATGGGTGTGGATGAGGTCAGAATAAGAGAAATCTGCAGTGAGTAGAGACTGTTGAGTCCACAATTTGTGGACTCGTACTCATACTATTCTGAATAGCCGATATAGACACACAATATATGGTTTTTCGCTTATTTAGATTTATTAGCCAATACGCTCTACACACTTCTCAGGGTATCTCGACAGCGATGATATAAGAATAGGAGCATTCTTGACGATTACTTTTAGAGTAACAACGATCGAGTCGTCTCCGAAATTAGTCAACAGAAAATTTTTACCATCGAACCCGACGAGTCTAGCAATAGCAGAGTTGGACAAGTCATAGATTTTTCAAGTCACAAGTCAAGTCAGACTTGACTTGCTCAGTTCTGAGCAGCAGGACTTGCAGGTCTACCATATCCTACTACCCTGCAGGATAGGTTAGAGTTAATGAGGAAAACGTAGGGAACAATCAGGATGAAGAGAAATTTCACAGAGTAGGATAGGTATATAGGAAAAGCTTCTTCGGCACATATTTACTGGATGGTAATCATATATTAATAATTAGTTGACATTTGACTTAAAAACGAATGACATAAAATTTATTTTGAAAACACGTTTTATAATGAAAATATAACTTGAAAAATGGTTTCTGTGTTGAACTAAAATAAATCATGTTGGATGAATACTGTCCTTAAATTGAAGTATAACTTTTGATCTTTTGTTGATAATTTAAGATCAATGTCTTGGTCTCTTGTAATATTATCGTGACTTAGTTTTAATCCATTCATTTGCTTATGAGTTTTCGCTTCATTAATAGATAAATGATAAAGAGTTCCAACTAAAGAGCGTTTCTTTTGTATGATAGTCCATCATTTTTTTGTAGAGCATCAGTAACATTAGGATTTCATGCACCAGCACTATTTCTCATTTGTTCTTCACGAATAAACTACTGAAGATATTTGCCAATATCTTTATCTAGTAGAAAAATAACATTAGCATGAAGAAATTTTGAAAGTTTTTTCATAGACATCTTTGATTTATTCTTGTTCATTTCGTAAACTAGTATGACATTGCATTTTCATTTAAATGAATCAGATGTGCGTGATTTTCATAAATTATATGATGCTGTTTTTCTCAAGGACAGTCATATATTGAACAATTACCGGTCATAGGAAGTGAGCCAAGCATGCTAACCAAAGAAACGTGGTTCACTTCATATAGAGAAAATGGACCAATCAAAATGCGAGTTCTTACTTCACCGCCATCCAACTATTTTCCCAAAACAGAACAATAGTATTCACAACCCGGAAGTGTCATTCCCATAACAGAACAATAATACTCACAACCCGGAAGTGTCATTCCCATAACAGAACAATAATACTCACAACCCGGAAGTACCATTCCCATAACAGAACAATTGTGTTCTGTTTTGGGAACAGTACTTCCGGGTTGTGAGTATTATTGTTCTGTTATGGGAATGGTACTTCCGGGTTGTGAGTATTGTTGTTCTGTTATGGGAATGGCACTTCCGGTATCAGAGTACCATATATTTGAAATGGGTATAGTATGGACTAATGGACTCC